CACCACTCTTTTTATTTTACAGATTGAGCCAAATACTGTAAAGAGACTTACTGAGGTAAGTCATTATATAAATTGTACCAATCACAGTTAAGAGATTTGGGTCATACTAAATTAAAGCCCAAAGAGTCACCGTATCTTGTAATAAAGAGCTCTTTCTCCTGCCTAGGTTAAACATCTGGCCCCAATACTTACCCCTGTTTGACAATGGGCAAATTACATAACTCATTTGTATCTCAGTTTTCTTATCATTAATTCCTAGGTTGTTTTGGGAAGTAAATAAATTAAAGATTATAAGCATGTAAATGTTATAAGCTTCAAAGAATTGATAAATAAAGTGAATTCGTAACACATAATATATTAAAGTATTAAGAGGAGGTGAATTTGTAACATGATATTATATTTAAGTATTAGTTATTATTTAGAAGATGAGAGAGTATTCTTCTCTAATGAAATATAGAAAGTCAGGCTGAAACACTGAACCCTGCATTTAAAACTACTCTTCCATTTTTGAACATAGTGTTACTCAAAGAGTTGGTATTTATTCTCTGTCCCAGTTTTTTAAAACAAATCTGAAATAAACTGGCATATAAATGCTTAGAAGAGTGCCTGACACCTCATAAGGGTTAAAAATACTTAATTATTATTACATTGGTCAAGATTTACAACATGCAAACTTATGTCCCACTTGCAAAAGGAATCATGAGAACTAGAACTCAGAAAAAGCTGTCCTGTTGAGAATTTTATATGGAAAACCAAGAGGAGAGCAACCAGGAACACACTTCATGGCCAACTTACCAGCCCTTTCTCTCTGGTATTTTACACTTCACTCTCCATTTATTTATTTTGAGGTGTTTTCATGCTGTTTACTGTCTGCTGCATAACCACCATCATCATTATTATTACCATTATTGTTTTACTTTGTTTTCTCAGTTTCTCTCAAAAACACAATGATTTACCCCAAATTGTGGTAATGTTGTCTGTTAGAAATCAGACATTTTATGTGTCCAAAATAAGTCATTAATTCTGTTCTCCAAAATAAATCTAAATTATCAGCATGCAAATCCATGTAAGCCATACAGATGTGAATTCTCCTCACTCCCTACACAAATTGCAGGTGAGGTCACTAGCTCAGTTAGCAATGGGATCATCCAGGTATGGAGATTTAAGACATATCTAAAAGTTGCCATTTTCACAGGATAATATCTTCCTTTCTAGAATCTCTCCTCTGAGCTGCCTTACCTGAAACTTCCTCCTAGCAACGCCCCATGGTTCAGACCTTTGCTGATCTTTCACCTCATAAATATTCTTGCCTGACCCCTATTGCCAGTTGTCTCATTTTTCTTTTCTTTGTCAGGGTAAAATTGATCAACTAATTAGTAATAAGGTATTAATGCTTAATACATTTGCATTTTTATGAGGAACACTAACGTCTTAACTAAAGAGGGTGTTTAATGATGCACATTTTGCAGTTTTGGCTGGCTGGTAGGTGAAATACATTTGAAACGAGAACCATCTAACTGCTCTCAAATTATGACCTCACCTGATTAAGCATGTGTTGCATAGAGGCAGAAGGGAAAAATAAAGTTATCAAGTTAGGACCTCCTAGAGACTTCTGATTCTACATAACACATGCTCAATAAAGAAGAGCTTTTTATTCTACTCCTTTCTGGCCACATGTACAGAAGGCACATATAGCAACTGATGATATTAGTCATTACTTGTGGTAAAAGTGTATACAGCCTTCCCACCACCTCAGAACAACAGGATTTCAGCTTTCTTGAAATCAAGTTTAGAAAAAATACCTTCCTCTGATTCCTGTTATTACAGCTGTGCTATGAACACTGTGAATGCTTAGGGAAATTTTATCATAAAAATTTCCAAGGATTTTCAGAGTAGTTTGGTAAAAAATATATATTTTTAATATGAACCATTTTTTAAAGCATACAAAAATACTTTTCCTATCCTTTTATTTGCCTTCTACTAACAGTGAAATCCAAGTGCTCATAAATGCACACAATATTTTATAATCTTAAGAAATACAAATTGCATTCCATTGTGGTTTAATGAAATGAAATTGTCTGAGTTCTCTTCATATTCCCTTGGCTTTGTTTTAGCTTGTTCCATCTGAAGATAGAAATATAGTAAGATAATAATTATCTACTGAATGGTGAAAGGCAGATAACCAGATATAGCGAACGGCAAACAAAGCAGGTAACAGATCTGCAGAGCAATATGTAATCTCACACTGAACATGGGAATTGTATTGTTGTGCTGTCAAAATGCATTCAGTTCAAACACTATCCTCAGGAACTATAAAATTGAAAATAAAGGCAAATTGGAGTAATTTAATCATCATAAGGCTTCTTTTCATGTATCCTTTTTTTGTGGAGTGTAGACAGATAAAAAATATGTTAAAGACTCACCATAGAGTCATCCCTGAGCATGGTAACTCACACTGATTTCTATCCGCTTTGACACCCTAAAGTATTCCATGCTTGCATTATTTAGCTATCCCATAGAGAAATTATTTACAGTATAGTTTCTACACTTCCACAAGGCTTACGACAGTTCTAAAAATAGAATGATTGTTCAATCATTTCATTGCTTACATTTTAGTCCTCTGATATTTTTTCTTATAAGTGTTTTTTTTTTTTCTTATAGTTATGAAGAAGTCAATGACTTTGGGCCACTGGGAAGTTGAAATTTTGATTTATAAAATCAAAATATATATGTATATTAAAATCAGAGCTAAATAACCAGTTTATTTATCCATTTTCCCTCATCACTTGTTAATTTCTTTCTGCCAAAAAATCAACATCTTCAATATTCTTTCTCTCAGAAGAAAAGGGAAGAAGTGATACCAGCAAGATAGCCGACTGAAAGTTTCTGGTACTCATCTTTCCCCAATAAAACATGACCAAAACAGTGAATAAACAGCTATTATTTGACTAGCGTGTCTGAGGGATAACAATAGACTGGAGCAAGAGACTTGTGGAGACCTTGTGGAACACAGAGACTCATGATGGCCAAATAGAGAAAGAAGCAAAGCACACTGCTGCTGCCACCCTGTCACCCGAAGGAATCAGCTTGGAGGCAAGAGCAACTTTCCTGCACGAGGAGTGCACCCGGCCCCCAGCAGCCCCTACTAACGCCATGCACACCGGCAGTTTTCGTTGCTGGAGAATCCTGCCGCTCTCACACGACCTGAACTGAGTTTGCAAGCTGTCAGTTCACATGACTGTTTTGATTCAAAGATGGGGCCCACATTGTTCCCCCTCCCTGCCCCCCATTACCCAATCTATTGCTGTAAGGTGCTGTCTTGAAGCCAGAGCCACTGCTATAGTATATTCAGCTCCAGGGGACAGTAAACTCTGTAGCTTCTTAAATTGGAGGCTTTGCTCCTATTACACCATGTTTACAAATGGTGGTGCACCATTCCCAGGCCAAGCTGCTACAGATCGCTGGTCCGTGGAAATAAGCTTTCTAGTGGGAAGGTTATCTTCCTCATTCTAGGGGCTGCATAACCATGACCCTGGCCCCTTGGAGACTGGGTTTGGCAGAATATCTGTTGCTCTAGTGCCCTGTTCCTAAAGGAGTATCACCTCAGCCAAGCTATTTGTCAAACAACCTCATGTGTCTCCTGAGCACAGACCATTCCAGCACCGCACCCATTAAAGACACAGTCTTGAGTAGGTGAACTAGCTATGCAAACCTCTGTACTCCAAGCGCCCTCACAGACACAGGCTGTAGCTGAAGAAACTACATGAAGACTACACAATTGCACCATCTAGAAGAAAGCCAACACATTCTACCTGACACTCTAGGACACACCTGCAGGTGAAAGTCTTTACCGTCCCCCCAAGAAAAAAAGCTCTATAAAATTGGAAGAGTAAATTGTTCTGCCAGATGCACAGATATCAATGTTGGGGTACAAAAACCATTAAAAGGCAAGAAAACATGACACCACCAAAAAAACACAATGCTTTCCCCATAATGACCAAAAAGAAATAAAAATTTAAGCACTGCCTGAAAAAGAATTGAAAATAATAACCTTTGGTAAACTCAGGGAGATACAAGAAAAAAGAGGTAGACAATTTAAGGAAATCAGAAAAATAATTCATGATCTAAATGAGAAATTCAACAAAGATGTAGATAAGAGTGTTCAGCGGCAAAAACTGTAGGTGTTCGTGGCATTTGAAACATAAACAAAATTGACAAATCACTAGCTAAATTAAGAAAAAAAAAAGAAGTCCCAAATACATAAAACCAGTAACAAAAATGGAGACATTACATATATTACCACACAATGCAAAGGATCATTAATGTATATTATGAAGAACTATATATATCAACAAATTGGATAGCCTAGAGAAAACAGATAAATTCCTGGACATACACAACATACCAAGATTGAGCCAGGAAAAAATAGAAAACCCAAACAGACCAATAATGAGTAACAAGATTAAATTGTTAATAAAAAGTCTTTTAACACTAAAAACTCAAGAACTGATGCCTTCACTGCTGAATTCTGCCAAACTTTTAAAGAAGTTCTCAAACCATTTTTTATTGGAGGGGAAGGAATTCTTCCAAACTCATTCTACATGATCAACATTACCCAGATACTAAAACAAATACATTCACAACTATAAAAGCAACAGCAAATAGAGGATACTGTCTCCAATGAACATACGTAAATTAATAAATGTGATACATCAAATCTACAGAAAATAAGAAGCAAAATGTATCACCATCTTAATGGACTCAAGAAAGTAATTTTATAAAATTCAATGTCCCTTCGTCATAAAAACTCCAACAAATTAGGTCTAGAGGAATGTACCTCAACACAATAAAGGCCATATATTACAAACCCACAGCCAATATCATGCTGACCAGGGAAAAGTTGGTAGCATTCCCTACAAGAATTAGAAAAAGTAAAGGATGCCAAATTTTACCACACTTATCAACATACTATTGGAAGTTCTAGTCAGACTAATTAAACAAGAGAAAGAAATAAAAGGTATTCAAATTGGAAAGAAGAAAGTCAAATTGTCCCTGGTTGCAGATGACATAGTCTTTAGTATTAGGTTAATCTAGCCTCATAGAAGGAATTGGGGCATGTTTCCTCTATTTTGTTTTATGTGGAAAAGGTTACATAACACTGGAAATATCTATGATTTGAATATTTGATAACATTTTCCTATAAAACTATCTGGGCCCAATGGTATTTACAATTACTAATTTATTCTACAAATGTAGAATTATCAAGGTTTTTATTTCTTCTTGAATCAATGTTGGTAAGGTATAATTGTCTAGGATTTTGTTCATTTCATTTAAGTTTTCAAACCTAGTGCCATAAATATATACATATTTTTCCTATGCTTTTACTTATTTGCTATATATGTAGTTATCTCACTTTTTTATTCTTAAAATTATTTGTGCCTTTTTTCTTCAATAATTTTGCCAACATTTTGTTCATCTTTTCAGCCTATTCAAAAATCAGCTTTTAACTTTGCTGCTCCACTATTTTTGTGCATGTTATTTCTTTCCTTCTATCTATTTTTTTGGTTGCATTTATTATATCATCTTTTGTCTATTTACTTTATTACATTTTATATTTTATTTGTTTAATTAAACATTTTAAGGCTATAAATGTTTAAGCAAATTATTAGTTGCATTTAGCTAGTTTTTAAAATGTTGTCTTTTATTAATGGTCAATTCTAATTTTTTTCTAATTTTACTTATGGTGTCTTCTATGAAATATGAATTACTCATAAATTTGTTTTAAATTTTTAAAATATTCAATTATTTAAAAAGTTATCTTTTGGGATTCATTTTAACCTAATTATAACCTGGTCAAAAATGTCTTCTATATGAAACTATTTGCTTGACATTTGTTAATCTCCAATTTTGCAAATATGCCACATGTGCTTGAAAAGTAGGTGTTCTATAGATGTTCAGTATATTGACTTTGCTCAGCATGCTGTTTAAATGTTTTTATACTGGTTTTTGCTGCTTGATTAATTAATAACTAGAAGAAGTGTGTTTACATTTACTATGATAGTGAATTTATCTATTTCTCACTCTAGTTTCACTGCATTTCTGAGGGGTCCTATAATAGACTACTAAATCATTTCACCACAAGAATCATTTATTTCCAGTTAGTGTTCAATAAATGAATACATGCTATTGGGGGTTGAATTGTGTTCCCCAAAAGATATGTTGAAGTCCTAACCCCTGGTAACTGTGAATGTGGCATTGTTTAGAAATAAGGTCTTTGCAGCTGTATTCTACTCCAAGTGAGATCATAATGGATTAGTGTGGGCCCTAAATCCAATACTTTGTGTCCTTATAAGGAGAGAGAGATTTGAAAACACGGAAGAGACATACACAGAAGGCCATATAACAACAGGGGAAGAGATTGTAATGATGTTGCCACAGCCAAGACATTAAGGATTGCTGGCAACCACTATGATATGGCTTGGCTGTGTCCCCACCCAAATCTCATGTTGACTTGTAGTTCCCATAGTCCCCACCTGTCATGAGAGGGACCTGGTGGGAGGTAATTTAATCATGGGGGCAGTTACCTTCATGACGTTCTCATGATAGTGAGTGAATTCTCATGAAATCTGATGGTTTTAATAAGGGGCCTTTATCCCTGTCACTCAGCACTTCTTGCTGCCACCATGTGAAGAAAGACATGTTTACTTCCACTTCTGGTGTGATTTTAAGTGTCCTGAGGCCTCCCCAGCCATGAGAAACTGTGAGTCAATTAAACCTCTTTCCTTTATTAATTACCCAGTCTGAGGTATGGCTTTATTGGCAGCATGAAAATGAACTAATACACACCATAATCTAGAAATAGGCAAGGGAGGATTAATCTCTAGAGCCTTAAGAGAAAGGAGGGCCTTAAAGAACCCTTAAGTTTGGACTTCTAACCTCCAGAAGTGTGAGATAATAATTTTCTGCTGTTTTAATCAAAATCTAAAAAATTAAAAAAGACAAAACAAGTTTATTGGTTCCTAAACTAGATAAATTGGGAAAATATATACTCTGAGTAATTGGAAATATAATCTCCATAGCTCAAGGGGTCAGGACAATTCTGCAATACAGCCTTACTCACAAATATTGCTGGCCCCACTGAAATAATAGAGCAATAATACTATATAATCTTTTATTTTCTATTGTCCATAATTTAAAAATATCCTGTTAATATGATATCTGTTATCAGAGAGGAGGCATATATCATTGACAAATGCAATAATAATAATTCATTAATATTATCTTTGAAATAGAAAAAAACCCTTATGGGTAAACAAAAAATTATATTTTAGAAGAAATCTAAATCTTAATAAGAAGAAAAACAAGGTACAAAAGAATAGATGACCTTTAAGTTGTTCATCTTGATATTAGCATTATTAAACACTCTTTATGGTACATGCTGAATATCAAATATTGCTGAACAAGTAAATAAATAAATTACTCATATAACGACATGAACATATTAGACTATTATATACCCAGGGATTGGTACATTCAACAAAGAAAGGATGCTATTGAAGAAGAAATGGAGCTATGCCTCTTCAAAATTTTAGCAAGTTTATAATTTTATCTAGAACTATAACTTATTTCATATAATGTTTAAAACAGAGTTTCTTGTATTATCTGAGAACTTAATTTGCCCAGCTTTATACCTGTAGCTCCTAATATCAAATTTATAGTATGGAACCATTCCAAAATCATTTCTTTGAATTGTTATGCCAAATAGGCAATTGCATATTTTATTTTCTTATGTTCATGTGTTGTTTTCTTGTATTCCAGGAAACATGGCATACAGTAAACAAACATTTTACTATGAAAATGAAAAATATATATATTTACTTATATATATTTTATGTATATTAAATATACACATATTTATGTATACACACATATATAAACCAAAATTGCTAGAGAATATGTAATGTATTTTTAATAATGAAAGTTTAATTATGTACACAAAATGAAACATTCCTGTGTTCTTTTGCTTTGATGTATAAATGTATTTAGTGCAGCAGGAATCAGTATGTGTGATTTCTTTGTTTTCCTCAAAGCATCTGTAGGGCAAACATAAGATGTAGAACTGCAGAACACTGGCCTCTAAAAAACATTGTCAGGGTGGCGCCTCTTGTTTTATGGAGATCTTCTCTCACTGAAATATATTACTTATGACAGAATCTATCTTTGAATTTTAAAAATTTTGGATTAAAAAATTGTTGTATTATTCTATTGCTAGACGAATTGAGTTCTAAGTTTCACTAGGTAAAGTTGATATAAGATATGTCATCTAGAAATTCTCTAGGTAAAGTCGACATAAGACATGTCATCTAGAAATTTGTCATCTAAAAATATTACTGTATTTCGTTGATGGTAACCCAACTCCTCTTTTTCTGAAATTTTTCTCAATTTAAATTACTTTTCCATTCTTCATTTGGTTTAAGCCAATAGTTCTTAACCTGAAGTATTTTGCCACCACATACTTGGAGACATTTGGCAATGTTTGGAGACATTTTTAGTTGCCATACTTGGGGAGAGGTGAAATTGACACTTAGCATGTAAAAGCCAGGGATAGTATTAAAATCCTACAATGCACAATATACATGACACCATCCCCCAAACTCTGATGAAGACTTACCTAGCCAAAAATGCCAATAGTGCCAAGATTGAGAAATGCTGGTTTAACTTGTTTGCCAAGGTAGTCTTTGCTTTAGGGAGATGTTTTATCTCTGTCCAGTTTATTTATCATTTACCTTCTCATTCAATCATGAAGCAAATATTGTGAGAAAACTCATACTGGGCAGGCACCACACACACACACACACACACACACACACACACACACACACACGAACATACACACACACACACACCCAGAGAGATGAGATATATTTCTAGTTTGGTGTATTGACCACAGTATGTTTTCAGCCTACCATTCTAGCATTTTACTTCAGTCTTTCATGTACCCTCTGTGTTCTAATTTATTGTCAATTGTCTACTACACTTCTCTATCCTTTCTCACTGCCACACGTCTTATTCCTATGTGACTTTAATCTCCTACCTGTCACTGCCAATAATCTATAACTTTTGTATAAAAACCTGTCATGTCAAGAATATTCTTGAAAGATGGTGGAATTTTCTATCATTTACCTGTTAGAATAGAAATCTGTCTACCCAACTAGAAAATAATTACACTGGCATATTATGTGTGATGTAACTATTTTGGAACTGTGGAGGCTACTGAAAGTTCAAAACTTCCAGGGAAAAATTTGGACAATAAATCGCAGAAAATTTCTGTCAATTTCAGCTATAAACAGGCACAGCTGCCTATCCTTCATCATCTCAGCTCTATAGTGGGCAGCTGTGGCACACAGCTGTGCACGTGTTCCTGCAGCAACTTACACTCAAATTGCAGGAGCCAAGGTGGGAAAGAAAGACTCTGTTCTTCAAATATGAGCAATCTGTGCTCTGATTGATGATTTCAAATTATGATCATCTAGTTTCAAAAAAGAAGCAGATCATCATTATTATTACACCTCCTCTCATTGTTGCAAGTCCTTCCCGCTCTCTCTGTGACATCCAGGGGATTTAAAGGACTGTCATCGTTTCCCCAAGCTCTTCATTTTTCTTATTTTCCCTTTTTGGGAGTCAGACATTAATGACTACTATATTCAAAAGCAACTTATTGTATGTGAAAAATTAGAAAGAGAGTGTGTACACCCTAGGAAATGTGTAGGCTCAGAAAAGACCTACAAATATTGCAAGTTTGTTTATATCTTAGGCTTATTCTTAGCACAGTTTAAAAAATAAACAAAAACAATAACAAAAAAGCAGCAAGGCCTCATGGTAGATCTATTAGACAAAGACTTTTAAACAGCTGTCATAAAGATGCTTAAATAATTAAAGGAATATGTAGAGAATGTCAAGGAAATTATGTAAGCACAAAATGGAAATGTTGATAAAGTGATAGAAAACTGAAAACAAAACCAAAAGAAAATTCTGGAGTTGAAAAGTTCAATAATTACAATGAATAATTTGC